ATTCCTGGCCTAGGGTTACAATTATTCTGATAGAAATTCATACGGGTTAAGCAGTCTTCATCTAAAATCGCACCTCCGAGTCCCGTATGTTTTTCCTTTTCAGGAAAAGGACCAAATGAGAGAAACTATCAAGTGCTCGAGGCTTCATACTTCAACACTTAAACACTTGGGGGACTACATAATATACAGAGACATATGTATAAAGAAGGCAAAGGAGATTAAGGAAAAATCAAGCCTAAAAGAGTCAAGTGCAGAGTAAAAGTCACGAAGTCACGAGATGGAGCCACGAGCTAAGGCCAAAGAAAAACCTCACTATAGTTAGGGTAAAGGCTATGTACTAAAACGGGTTATAAGGAAAAACCCCGTGTCTATTATTCTTCTTTTGAAAAAATCTGTTATAAGAAAAACAGTTATGAGAAAGTTATAGATGTAATTCAAATACATGTAAAGTATTATCCAAAACTTGTCAAAGTTATTTCAAAGAAACATGTATGTTCCTATTTCTTTTATCGTATGACAACACCATTATGAAGTTGAAACATCTTCTTCATTAAGTGTCGAAATATAAAAGGGCCCTATTTTATAAAACTCATGTTTAAATTAATTAGTCATGAGGTTAACAGAAGTATTTTCAAAAAACAAAAATGCAAATTATTCTGTAAGTCCTTAAAAATAAAGACAAGAATAAAGCAACCAGAAGTTTAAGATAGTAACATGAAAAACTTCTTAATACGTAAAAAATCTAAGACTAAGTTCGAACTTAGTCATAAAACTATGAAATTGTTTATACAGATTGCCCCATAAAAGACTTGGGGACTTGCGTTTCCAAAATCAATCCTCAAATGAAGCTAAGGGTTTGATTACAATTTTCCAAAATAAAAACAAAAACAAAATCATTCAAATGATTAAAACTGGTCACTGAGAAGTTTGTGGAACTGAAGCAGGAACATCAATAGCAGCGGGCTCAATTTGGGCAGGTGCATCAACAGATGCGGTTTCAACTTGGCTTGCAGCAACATGCTCGATTGGGCTTGAAAGAGTTGGGATACCCGTATCAGCTTCAACATTCACGGGAGCTTCAACCACGGGAGAAGGGAAGTCCTGAGTTTGCTGAGCTTTTTCAATGGTTTCATTGATCTTAGCTAACTCCGACTCCAGGTTGAAGTTTTCTTGGCCAGCTTCAATTAGGGTATCTCGACGTGAATTCAAAAATGCCCAACTTACCTCAACAATAGATTTTTCTTCAAGGGTCTCATAATCCTTTTCCCAATCAGCAATCTCATTCTTTAGCTCTTCATTTTCAGCCAAGGCTAAGTTGTAAGAAGCTTGAAGAGAGGCATGGGAGCTCTCTAAAGCACGGACCTTATCAGCCAAGACTCGAAGGTCTTCTTGTGTTTGAGTTAAGCTTTGCACGAGCTCCCCAGCGTAAACTTCTTTTTGACTCAAAAGAGCCTTCAACTCTCTATTCTCTTCGCTTGCCTTAGATAGTTGCTCTAAGAAGGAAGATTCGAGACGTTCTTTGTCTTTTTCTGCTTGGCTTGAGGAAGATTTTGCAACCGCTAACTCTGAAGTTAAAGCCCGCACCTGCTGCTCTAAGGTACTCTTATTTTCTTGTAAATCTTCCATATCAATTTGTGCACTCTAAAATTGTTCCTTCCAATTGATCGCCTCCAACTGAGAATCACATGCTACCTTCTCCAAGATAAGGATTCTGTTCATCATTTCTGTGCCGATAAGATTGGCCTAAAAAAAGAAGGGAAATAAGAATATAAGAATCCCAAATATAAAAAAAAATTACAAAGTAAAGAAGGGAGAGAAGGAAAATACCTTCAAAGTGGCATGCACGATATCATTCATTAGAGTCAGGGAACTATGGCTCTCCAGCTTTGCTTTTTCAATTGGACCGATTAAAGGTTCCAGCCATACATCTGCCTGACCTGACTTCCTCAAAAGGCTGCTATCAGCAGGAACTTCAATGGTTACCCTCCTCATAGCGACACTTCTACTTGAAGAGCCCACTTCCGTATAGTGAACGATAGGAGGGGGAATTGTCGAAGGAGGAGCGGTAGAGGAAGTGAAAACAGTAGAAGAAGGAACAGAAATAGCTGGGGCTGGTTAGGAAGGAATCACGGGCACGGGAGTTGAAAAAGAAAATAAGGGTATTTCATCTAGAACAGGCCCTAAACTTCCACTACCAAAACCACTGAAGAAAAGTTGATCAATAGACTCATGAATATCATGGGGAGTGACGTCATCGTCAGGAATTATTACTGGGGTTTCAACAGGTTCGGTAAGAGGAATAGGAAGGCGAGGGAAAACTTCAGCTTCGTCATCAGAGACGATGCGTCTCCTAGCTCGTGGCCTCGTCACCAGGGAACCCTCCATCTTCCTCTTCTTCAGAGTCTTCTTCTTCAACAGTTTTCCTTTTTGTAGAAGAAGAACCCAAGACTATTTCTCGGGCTCTTTCTAAAGAGATATGGGTTCCTGAAGGAGTACGGGTTCCCGAAGAGACACGAGAAGCGGCAACTGCTTCAGCAGTAACTCCTCGAATAGCAAATCCTGATAAAAAGAAGGATGGAAGTTAGAACAATAAAGAAAAAATATATACATGCGTGAAAGATGAAATAAAAACTCTTACCATGAGTTTTTACTTTCCAACCATAACGATTAGAAAGTGTTTTCCAAGACCTACCATCTATTGGTGCGGTCTTCAGCAATTTATCCACCTAACCACGGAAATTGGGAATATTCCCCACCACTCCCATGGTTGCTAAAAAAAGCAAAATTAGAGAAGTTGATAAACTTGAAGGAAAAAGGCACGAGATGGATAAAAGACTTACGTGTAAAATTCCACTTCTCAGGGAAGGGAACGTTATTCTCACCTACTAAACCAACAGTGGGGGTAGCAACAAATCGGGCGTACCAGCCACGGTCCTTGTCATCTTCAAGGCTCACTAAAACCCTCTTACTCCTGGCCACTAGGATAAAAATGCCATTACAGAAAAGTCTAGGGGAGTAAAGATGAATCAGGTGAGGGAAAGTAAAGGAAACGTCAGCCAAATTGGTTAAATGCCTCAAACATGCAACAACCCTCCATATGATTGGGCCAATTTGACCCAAGCAGACATTAAAGAAACGACAAAATTCAAGAATGACTGGGTCAATAGCTGGTTTGAACCCTAAAGTGAAAAACCCAGTCAAGTAAGAAGTAATCCTCTGATTTGATTAGGGATAATAATGGAAAAATCATTACTCCAATGGCAGTCTTTGTGAACTACAAGAGTCAAAACTTCTGTAATTTGAGTGGGGTAAGCGTCAGCACGATCTAAAGCAGAAACCTGGTTTCTAAGAGATTCCCTATCATGGTAAAAAGATAGTTTTGTAAGGACTATCTCCTCTACTAAAGGTTCACGTAATGGTTCAGAAGGTTCTTTATCCCTAGAAGAAGATTTGTGAGAAAGGGAACCTCTGGTTCTAGAAAAAGGGCCAGAACTAGGAGAAGGTATAGACGAACCACCACCGCGAGTAGACCCTAAGCTATAAAGCCTACCTCCCCTTCTATGTCTAATGGGGGCAATATGGAAGGTATCAATAATGGGAACTACCCTAGGTTAGGATTTGGTGAAGACATGGCGAAGAAGAATAATGTGAGGAAGAAGTGAACTGAGATTTGAGGAATTAAGTGTTCAATAAGCTTTATGTGGTAAAAGACAATGAAAGAAGTTATATTTATATTAATACGCCACCGCCAAAGGTAAAAGTGCAGTAATGGAAGGACCATAAAAATGATAACTGACACTTCGTGAATAGTGGAGCTGTAAAAAGCCTTGAAAAGGGTTGCAAAACTGCAGAACCAATGGAAAAATGACACGTGTACGGAGCATTAAATGGAAGCGACAATTGAAGCGCCAATTTTGTCATAGCATTAATGGTGACAAAAATTTCCTTTTAATGAAATTCACTTCCCAAATATTCAACTGAGAATAAATGGAAAGTGGGGGGACTATCTGTATTGGGAAAAATTGTATTTAAATATAAAGGTGACGTGTCGAAGCACGTAGACTGATCAAATGATCAAAGAATTACAACTAGCCAAGAGGCACGAGTTGCAACAGATACGAGCAAATGGCAGAGGAAGAGGCACGAGCAGATATACAAATAACCCAGCACTCGTACCTATCTAAGTCATTTATGTCCGAGAATCAAAAGGAATGAATCTGACAATAGAAAAGAGTGCAGATACAACATTTAATAGGCATTAAATGTGGAATACGTTAGAGAATTTGTATTAAATATAATGATTATGTAACGTATCATTCAATGTCCTTAATTACTCGTAATAGCCTCATTATGATTTAGGCAAAACGTATATCTCCAAGATATCTATAAAAGGGAGATATCTGATCCATTGTGAGGACACGAAATACTATTGATATAAACTTTGGTTTACTTGTTTTTCTCTTGATTACTCTCTTGCTACCTAAATTACTTCTTTTTATACACTCTTTTGATTATCAGTAACTCGTGTACTTCTAAATTCTAGCTTTGACTAAAATTCCATTTTTTATTTAAACACTTGAGATATCTTAAAAAAAAGTGTATATCAACCAAAAGTTAATCTGTATTGTGTATCTTTTTTTAAATTACAGTTCCAACTGCAGTTTTAAAAATTCAATCAAATCATAAATAATGACTTCTTGATATGTGCTAAATAGTTGAATTTCTTGTATTTATATTTATAGTAGTGAAATTGAATGTGGAACTCATCGCCAGGAAATGTGTAGGAGGCGACTGCTCCTGACGTCGTTTATACCCTCTTCCTTTCATCCTTATTATTATTATTATTATTAGTAAGTAGTAGTAATAGAGTATTTTATTTTGTGGGGTGTGGAGTTGCTTGGGGTTGGTTATTCTTCTGGTCCATCTTATTTTTTGGGGGGTGAGGGATGGGAGGTGGGTGGGCTTATTCTTCTGGTCCGTGTCTATTTTCAATTCAAAGTCCATCTCCGCTTTTTCAATTTCATTTCATTTCTCTGTCCGGACAATAAATCCACTTCTTTTCCTCTTCCTACAATATTCTCTCTCCTCTTCCTACAATATTCTCTCTCCTCTGATCTTTTTTTTTCCCTCTCTCTCCATTTCTCCAACAGAAGCTGGGGGGAAGCGAAGGCTCGGAATCTCCGCCTGTCGCTCGCCGGAAACTTCATAATCCCGATCGGAGCAGTTGGGATAATGAGTGTTTAGCTGTGGATAAAAGGGAGAAGAAAACTGTATTAAATATAATTTTGCAGAGGAGAGAGGATTTACAGGTGGTTAACGTGCAATGTAGGAAAAAAGAACAGGAGAGAGAAAGAAACAGGAGGACAAAGAGAGAGAGAGAAAGGCATCGAAGCTTTGGAGGTTTCTGCACGGCACGGATACCTAGATCTCTTCTTCAATTTCCCCCTTCCTCCCCTTGCCTTGTGCCGTAATTTATTCCTATTTTCATCTCTTCTCTCATCTTCAAAATCCTTGTAGCCCTCCCTCACCTTCCCCTTTCCTATAAATATCTCTTTCCTCTTCTTTCTCTATTTCTCTCATGATTTTGCTCTCTGATTCTGTGTCCCCAGGTGCGTGTTTTTTCGTTTTTTCCTCTATTATGGCTCCAATTTCTATTTTTATCCTTTGATCTACTCCCTCACCTTCAAATACGGCTTCTTTGAATGTGCTTCAACCTGTTGTACTGTTCGATCGGCCTTCATTTTTTCTGTTTGCGTTTGAATTTGGGCTTAAGATTAACTACCCTTCTTTTTGATCTGCTTAACTTGATTAATTCTTCTCTTTGTTTTTATTTTATTTTATTAAAAAAACCTTTTTCGTCATGCTTATGTTGCATTTCCTGTCGTAGTATGGAATAAATACAAACTACGCCGCTCTAAACTTCCAAAACAAAAGCCTTATTCTCCGCGAATGATTAAAAACCTTGTCTTTTCTCTTTTAAAGTCTAATTCCGTCTTGAGTTGTTAAATGCTTCTCGCTGAGAATTCATTTAACACGAATGATCCAGTTCCAGCCCCTCAATTTGGCAACCTAATAATTAAGCTGAAGCTACTTACTGTTCCATAATTACATTTTTTAATCTTCAACTGAAACTTGGATCATAACATAATTGAAGTATGTGTACATGTGTCATATCTGAAGATGTGAGAAGTTGCTTACTTGACTTTCCCGTAATGTACCTGGATGTTGCCATTTTATGCTCAATTCAGTATAAAGATTCAATCTTTATGATTTCTCATTGGAAAAATACTTTAGTTTCTCATCGCAGAAATACATTGATAGAGGATCTTATTCAAGCTATATACAAGGCGGAGATACTTTCTTTGATTAGATAGTTCCTTCTGAGTCCAAATTGCGTGATGCCATCTCAAATGAGGGAGCCACAGGGTTTATCGCCATCATCATACTTCTCCGAGGACTTATGTTTTCATGATGAGGTTTAAATTGTTCATACATCACACTTTTATTTCTTTCACGATCTGTTTATCTAATTCTAATGTTACAAAAGTCTTTATGGACGACCTTACCCCTCTCTTGGATAAGTCATCAAATAGATAAAGGAGGGAGGGGATACTATTTTGCTCGTTCTTTTCCTCGTAACTGATACCTTCCTTTTCTGAATCTTGCAGAGGCAAGTTGGATTTTGGAAGACAAACAGCCTGCAGAATTACCATGGTCAGTAGTAATCCAAATAGCCCTTTGTATGTTACTCTTATATCAGGAGTTTGCTTGTGTTAGCATTGGTTTTTCAATAATGCATTGATGAGTCTGCCTGCATTATGTTCAATGTGACTAGCAGTATAGCTACGTTTCCTGATTTATAGGAGATAGTGGTGATTGTCAACAAACAACAACAACATATCCAGTGTGATTCTCCAAATGGGGTCTGGGGAGGGTGGGGTATACGCAGACCTTACCCTTACCTTGTGTGAGGTAGAGAGGCTGTTTCCGAACTGGTTGTCATGGGTCAATTAGTTTAAAGAATTTCCATTTTCCTTTCTTTTCCTCTTTTCCTGATTCTCATGGTTACAGCGCAGCTATAAATTGGTCCCATTTTTTGCTGCTGCAAATCTTTTCTTTTTAAACAGATCTGGAAAAAAAGTTATGTTTAAATCATCTTCAAATGTCTCAAGATTGGTATCTCTATTGATTTTGAAAACTTATTCTGTTGAAAGGTGGTGCCAGATGGTAATCAGGCTGTATATATCTTACCAAATGGTTGTTTTGAATCTAGCTCTAATTTAACATGCTTTAGCCTTTTGGATCTCCAAAATATGTGTATCCTTTCAGAATATGAACAAATGCATGTCTCCTCCTCCCTACCGAGGAAAAAAAAAAAGAAAAAGAAAAAAGAAAGAAGTTCCTGTTACCAGTGCGTGCAATGGCAAAGCTGATGCTGTTATTTCTGTCATATTTATGCATGGCTCCATCCATGTATGTTCTTTATTAAAGTTACCAGAACTAGGGTGGGTAATATACTTTTCATTTCCAAGTGAAAAGGGTTGTGATCCAGATGGAGAGTTTTGATAACCTCTCTTTTCGATTATGCTTACGCATTTTCATGCAGGTCTTAAAGGTGATGATGCTTTACAAAGAGCTGCTGTCCGTTCATCACCCCTTGAGAATCATATTTCGTTGGGCTCTCCGATGGCAAAGCATTTTGAACATCATGGTTCTTATCTAAAACAAGACAAAAAGGTTAACAGCATCATAGAAAAACAAACTTTTGGAGTGGAAAGAGCATCTCACTCTTTACCTAGAGCTCTTGACCATAACCTGGATGTAAGATCTATTCTCGGTGCTGACCTGACATCTATTCCAGCTGAAGGTGACAGAATTAGCATAATGGGTGGTCAATATGAGAATGGTCTCTTCTCGAGCTCATTATCAGAACTATTCAGTAGAAAATGTATGTCTTACTTTTTTTCTGTCCTATTACTGCCTTGACATATTACATTGTTTCCAAGTGTTGCCACTATTTTGGCAAAATTTTGCCCCATTGATGTTTGAGTGGCTGTCAAAAACAGTACTTAACTGCTTCTCCTGTGATGCTGTTGTAGGTGGATAACTTATTTATCCAATCCATCTCTTATCTATTTTTTTTTGTTTTATTATCTTCGGCTTTTCTGTCAAAGGTAGAGGAGTTGATGTTGGGATTTTGTCATGCAGTGCGATTGCCGACCAATAATTCTCCACATGGTCATTCTGTTGGTGCAGCTGACTCACACTATGAAGAAGAAGAACCTTTTGAGTCCCTTAAAGAACTTGAGGCCCACGCTATTGGAAATCTTCTCCCTGATGATGATGACTTGCTTGCTGGAGTGACTGATGGGCTTGACTATGTTGGCCAACCCAATGCTGGTGATGACATTGAAGATCTCGATCTTTTCAGTAGTGTTGGAGGGATGGATCTAGGAGAAGATGGTTCCTCTCCAGGACAACGAAATTCTGAATTTGCTGGAAATTATACTCTGCAGGGTGGCTCTAGTGCTGCAATTGGAGGCAAGCACCCTCCCGGGGAAAATCCATCTAGAACACTCTTTATAAGAAATATAAACAGCAGTGTTGAAGATTCTGAATTACAAACACTTTTTGAGGTGAGAGTGGTCTATCATTGGGTCTACATTTTCCAGAAACTTATCTCTACCCTCTTAAAAGGGAAAATTAAAGCAAAACAGAAGTTGTATGTTTTGATTGGTTATGATTGTTGTGTTTGATTCTTATGAACAGCAATATGGAGATATTCACATGCTATATACAGCATGCAAGCATCGCGGTTTTGTTATGATCTCGTATTATGATATTCGAGCATCGCAACATGCCATGAAAGCTCTTCAGAACAAACCGTTGAGACGCATGAAGCTAGACATACATTTCTCTATTCCCAAGGTATGTATGCTTCATCTTTGGTCCTTCCCACTTGTATATCTAATAGTTTGCCTGTTTCAGAGATTACTGGCCCTACAAATGTTTTTGACATTTCTATGTCTCCCGCCAGCCGAGGGTCTATCGGAAACAGCCTCTTTGCCCTTCCAGGGTAGGGATAAGGCTGCGTACCTCTTACCCTCCCCAGACCCCACTTGTGGGAAATGACTGGGTTTGTTGTTGTTGTTGTTATATATCTCCCATATGCGAGCAATATACCAAAAGAATCATCCATTGGCAGTATTTGCCAGCTAGATTTGTTTTCTGCATCTCATGTTTCTTAGTCAACAAGCAACAATTATCAATCCTCCTTTTCTGATCATTTTTGATAGGACAATCCATCTGAAAAAGATGTCAACCAAGGCACTCTCCTGGTTTTCGACCTTGATTCCTCTGTTTCAAATGATGAACTCCGTCAAATATTTGGTGTATATGGCGAGATTAAGGAGGTAAGCTAGGCTACTAGCTCTTTGTATTCAATTGTTTTGTCTGGGAATTGCTGATTTTTGTCTTCTTTTTTTTGCCCCTTATCTTGTAAAAGATCCGTGAGACTCCACATAGAAGCCATCACAAATTTGTAGAGTTCTATGATATTAGAGCTGCAGAAGCTGCTCTTCGTGCATTAAACAGGAGTGACATTGCAGGGAAGCAGATAAAAGTTGAAGCAAGCCATCCTAGTGGTACTAGACGGTGCGAATCTTTAACATTTTGCNGGGGGGTGGGTGGGGTGGGGGTGGGGGAGAACAGGGCATTGCTCTTGTAGAAAGCTGTTTGCTATATTATTAATTTATTAGCTGAAATAGACCAATTATCCATATTCTATGGGCTTCACAAATTTGAATTCTTTGCCAATTTTGGACTGTTATTTGTCTTTTAACTGAATCACACTATTATTTGAGCCTCTGTTTTGAATACAGCAGGTTGTTGCAACAGTTTCCTTCTGAGCTGGAGCAAGATGAACCTGGTCTATATTTGCAGCAGAATAGTCCTAGCATCTTAGCAACTGGATTTTCTGGTATTATTACTCTTCATTCTTTGCATTATCATTCTTGCAGAAATGTATTATGGTCACTTTACTTGGTTAAAAATTTCCAGGGGCACTTCCACACGGAGGACATGCGTCGAGTATCGAAAATGGATCAATTCTGGGAAGACAATCAGCCAGTGGTTCTGCCATTAATTCCTATCTGGATAATGCATTTGACTGTGGATTTTCATTCAGTGTTCCTAACAGCTTGTTGAGGTTGGAATCTAAGGGCAACCAAGTCAATGTTGGTGAAACTGGCCACCTGCAGAGCCGAATCAGTTTTGAGTTTAGCGGCACATCAGGTCTCCATCCTCATTCACTTCCAGAGTATCATGATGGTTTATCTAATGGAGCTTCCTCCATTTCTCCGGGCAGCATTTCTGCAACTATGAATATCAGACCAGTAAAATCAGAAAATCGAAAGTTTTCCAGAGTTGGCTCTAATGGGCATTCGGTTGAACTAAATGAAGGTAAGAAGTTCCGTATCATGGGTCTTCTATCTCTGCAAGGATGAATATTGTACTGACTGCAATAGTTAGGTTGTAATCCTGAAAAAGATGGAAGCGCTTTGCTTCCATCCTAGCCAGTTCTCTGATATGTTCCTTTTTCATTTTTATATGGATCTCTATTTTCTAGATGGAACTGAGAGTGCAACTGTACCTGTAAGGGTATAGCTCCCATTACCCCTCCCCCAACCTTATAAAACGTGGGCCAATAAAATAGAAACAACTGTCGTCCAAATTTTCCCAAATTTTCTGATAATCTGTGTGCTATTTCTATTCATTTCAGTTTTTACTCCAAATGGAAATGTAAATTGTCCTTCTCCTGGGCACCAGTACATCTGGAGTAAATCACATCAACCTCAGCCTCAAGGTATGATGTGGCCAAACTCACCCACATTTGTAGGTGGAGTCTGTGCCACTCGCCCTCAACAACTGCATTCTGTTCCAAGGGCTCCCTCCCATATGCTGAATGCACTTGGACCAATAAACAACCATCATGTGGGTTCAGCACCCTCTGTTAATCCCTCTCTCTCTCTCTGGGACAGAAGGCATGCCTATGCAGGAGAATCTCCTGATGCATCTGGTTTTCACCCAGGTTCTCTGGGCAGTATGAGGATTTCTGGAAATTCACCACATCATTTGGAGTTTATTCCTCATAACGTTTTCCCTCGCACTGGTGGTAGCTGTATAGACTTGTCAATGTCTTCCAGTAATGTTGGATTGCACTCCCATCATCAGAGGAGTTTGATGTTTCCTGGTAGAGGTCAAATAATTCCTATGATCAATTCATTTGATTCTCCAAATGAAAGGATGAGGAGCCGTCGGAATGAAGGTAGTTCAAATCAGACTGACAACAAGAAGCAGTTTGAACTGGATGTTGATCGGATTGCACGAGGGGAAGATAAAAGGACGACCCTAATGATAAAGAACATTCCTAACAAGTACGACACTGTCTTATTACTAATTGAAATTTAGGTTTATACCTGAATTCCTTCTATTCGCTAATATGGAAACATGCTGCTTAAGATGTTGAGGGAGTACTAATCTATTAGTTTCTTCATTAGTTTGAGATGATGTTTGTTGAGTTTACTCTTGAAAACTAACTTGACTGGATATATATATGATAGTAAAAGCTGTTTGATGTTGAGGGATTACTTATCTTGCTTAATGCCTTGAAATATTTCTGAAATTTTCTCAAGTATCTCCTAGTTGTAACTTATCAAAAAGATTTTCTTGTGGCAATTTGTAGACCATTGATGTTAATACCAACATCTGGTCATCATACCATATTTATTAGCATATGTTTTGTTGCAAATTTTCATTGCTTGTATACCAGCACGGGATGAATAAAAAGAACATTAAGGCTTCAAAATCATGATGTGTTCATCTTTTGAGTATAAAGATTGTCTATCTGTTCTCATAGAAAGAAACTTCTTCAGCTATTGGATAGTATATTTTGTATTTTTGTGTTCTCAAAATTTCCGACGGTGTGCCATCACCCATGTTCTAACTTCTCCTGGTGGGTTTTTAGGTACACTTCAAAAATGCTTTTGTCTGCAATTGATGAACGTCACAGAGGAATGTATGATTTCATCTATCTACCAATTGATTTCAAGGCAAGCGCTTTTCCCATGCTGAAAGCTTTCGTGTGTTCTGGATCTTGTTTTTATTCTGTATAACTTCGCTTTGTTTTGTTGCAGAACAAGTGCAATGTAGGTTATGCTTTTATCAACATGACTGTTCCTTCCCTTATTGTTCCATTTTATCATGTATGTGGTTCTTGTCCCTTATCAAATTAGTTCAATTCAATTTAAGGGTTACTTCTTATTGTTGTTGCTTCTTTTACGGTTAAACGTGAGCATTTATTTCGCAGGCATTCAATGGAAAGAAATGGGAAAAGTTCAATAGTGAGAAGGTGGCATCACTTGCATATGCTCGTATCCAAGGAAAAGCTGCACTCATTGCTCACTTCCAGAATTCTAGCCTCATGAATGAAGATAAGCGGTGCCGGCCAATCCTCTTCCACACTGATGGCCCTAATGCCGGCGATCAGGTATGAGCACAACTCTATCAATAGCGGCCATTGCTTTTATAGTTTCATTTGTTTCTGGTGACTTGCCTCATGCTTAAGGGTGTGTTTGGTATGATAGAAATGTTATTTTCTGTCACTATCAAACACATTTTAACTTTGGCAACTGTTTTAATGGGCTATTAGGGAAAAACACAAGTGAGGGAAGTCATGTTCTCTTTTGATAAAAAAATATTTACTTAAGAAGATATTTCTGGTGTTTGGCTGTGAGAAAATAACTCATTTTCCAGAATACATTTTCGGGAAAACATTTTCCTTCATACCAACCGCACCCTAAGCTTTTGCCATTTCGTGGTTGGAGCATCAGTTTGATATTGCCTTAGTGCTTGGTTTCACTTTGAAGTTGTGTGATCTGTGTCTGAGGAAAATTAAAAGGTGTTTTGAGGTCTCACTTTCCTGGTTTTGTAGGTGCCCTTTCCCATGGGTGTAAACATCAGGCCAAGAACCAGCAAAAATCGGGCTGGCACCAGTGAAGAAAGTTACCAAGAAAGTCAGACAAGTTTGTCAACCAGCAAGGATTTCGTAAATGAAGAGTCATCTTCAGGTTCTGTCAAGGAATCAAATTGAGCAAGCTGCTGCAATTTTGTTGGTACTAACCTATAGGATTTTGAGATTGGAAACGGATCCGCCCATTTTTTATTAATGTACATTAGGGTGGTCAGTGGAAAGGCAGAAAAAGAAGAGCAAACTTCTATTTTTCTGAATTTTGGATGGACTCCTAAATACTCATGAAAATTGTGCATTACCCATTTGCCTAAGGAATTATTGTAATACTGAGGCATTCAGGAGGGAACTTCAAAATTTTGGAAGATTGGGAGGCCTACTAATTTATGATAAATACACATGAGTTTCCGGGGACGATAAATCATTAGCGGCACAACAACAGAGCGTTCTATTGTCTGTCCCTCCTGGTATTTCACTATTTTTTCCCCTGTTTCTTGGCAGCTCAGCATTATTGAGAAATTTTTCGTTATGAAGAAATAATTGATATGTTGCACCATTGCTGCTGTGCAGTTTACTTTTTGTTTTTCTTTTATTCTAAAACAATTTGCTAGGTGGATGTGGGTTACTTTAGGATTAATAAAAACCCTTCAGCATAACGCACATGGGAAAATTTTATTTTGTGAACACAAGTCGTCTGAGGTTTCTTCCCCTAAGTCCCAAACAATTAATTTTAGGTCT